ATGCTAGCGCAAGCCCAGGGTGTAAGGATAATAATAGCTACATTACAGCTTATTATATGCATGCCCTCTGCTAAGTGCTTTGCCCATATTAACTCATTCATCTTCACCTCAGGCCACCTATCCCCATTTCAGAAATGGGAAAACTGAGGCCCAGAGGGGGTGACTAACTTGCTCCAAGGTCACTCAGCTGGGGACAGGCAAAGTTGGGATTCAGTCTATTAGACAGAACTCCTGACAGGAATCCCCAGTGAGGAGAACCTGGGAGGAGCAGGGAAGGTTTCCAAAAGCAGCTGAGGCTCAAAGGATGAAGAGTTAGCCAGAGAAGGTGTGATAATTATGTGCCAGGCAAGATTCTGGGAGGGAAACAACGAAGCCAAAGAGAATACTCAGCCCTGGTTCTGCATTTGTTAAATCTTATCTTGAATAGAAAAATATTTACCTTCCTTGCTAAGACTTTGCTGAGTATCTCGTCTATTTAATTGTGGATCAAAAAGCTTTCACATTTTCCTCCTTCTGTTCTCCCTTCATTCATGACAGCCAATTTCAAAGCTTAATTGGTTTCTGAAAGTTTGTTCCCATCCCTTAAGTTACACTGTAAATTTCTTGAGTCTGGGGTGCACATCTCTTTCTCTCCCACAGTACCCAGCACACTGCCTTAATACACATTTGTTAAATAAATGAATACACAAAGTGAGAGAATGCTTTAGCCTCAGAAATGCAGAACAGCTACACCCCAAAGTGCCCATTGCCTTACCCTTGTTCTCTGAAATAATGGGGCTCTCATCAAACTTAAAATTACACAGCACTTACAATGGACATTTATGTATTTGCTATGAGCCTTCTGTCATCCCTCAAATCAAATATATATTTTTTTCTTTTTCTGTTTTTTCCTTTTTCAATCTGATAATAACTAGAAAAAAATCTTCAGGAATAAAAAGGCTCCCATTTCTTACCAAACATTCAGAGGGTGCATTTTGAATGGTCTAGGCTACTTACCTAGGGGGAGAATGGGCTGCAAACTCCTGCACTGCAAACAGTGGATCTTAGCTCTGCCTGCATTTCAGAATACCTAGCTTTCATAACATATCCATGCCTGGGCACCAGGAGATTCTGATTTATTTATTTACTTATTTTTATCCTCACTCGAGGACACTTTTCCATTTTTTTGTTCAGATAGAGAGAGAGAAAGAGAGAGAGAGAGAAACATCTACGTGAAAGGGACACATTGAGTGGCTGCCACCCACACAATCAACCAGGGCCGGGGACAAACTGCAACCGAGGTACGTGCCCTTAGCGGGAACTGAACCCCGGTCTCTCTGGACCGCAGGCTGATGCTCTAATCGCTGAGCCAAACCGGCCAGGGCGAGATTCTGATTTAATTGGTCTGAGAGGGGCCTGAGCATCTACTTGTTTGTTTCTTTGTTTGAAGGGTCCCTACATGATTCTAATGTGCCTACCATCATGGTGAACCACTGGACCAGAGCAATATTATTCTGTGCCAGGGTGTGAGTAAAATGATAGATTGTCTGCAAAGGTGAAGAAGTCCCCAGCCCTTTGAGTGGGGCCAGCATGAAGCAGAGCTTTCCTGACAGGACTCTCACTGGTCCGGTGACATCTCCCAGCCCGGCGGGAAGACCTAGCAGGCTCGGGTCAGAGGGGAGAGGTAGGAAATGCTCGTGGATGCACTCTGGCCTCACAGGACTTCACCCACAGCCTCCCGACCACAGGCGACAAAAACGATGTGTTTCATTACGTAGCTGCAAGCAAGGGCCTTCTTACACAGTGGTCAAAAAGAAGAAAAAGGAAAACAACTATTTTCAGCATTAACGGTGTGGAAGGGATGATTCTTTCCCTCTATTCCAGACAGGAAGAGAAAGTTATCTAGTTCCCAGGGGAGCGCTGGGGGTTGGGGAGCAGCCACTGTGCTGGAGGGGAAGTGAAAGAGGCTGCTGCCAAGTTGGCCAGGAGCAAATTCATGCCATTCTGGGTGTTCTCACCAGGCTGGAGAAAAGTGGTTAAATAAGCAAAAGGGGGATATTGTCCTTCACATTAGGCCTGTGTGCAGCTAAGGATGATCAAGAGCAGAGTCTGAACTTGGCATCTGTGTGAATGCCCACAGAAACTGTATACACAATTTGAGTGTGTGTGTTTTTCTAAGGAAAAGGGTCTCTGTTTTTCATCAGCTTCCTAAAGATTAAGGATGACAACTGGCCCTGAGCAAGATCCGCTGTAAGCTGAACACCTATTTGTCACCCACACACCCTGACCTGTCAGATTGGTCCCACTAAAGGTAGCAGGGCTGAGCCATAGCAAATTACGTAAGTAGATGACATTCATTCTCTATGCTCAGCCTCAGGGGCATAGCTTCCCCACATTCAGATGGCCTGAGCACAGCTAATTGTCACCTGCTTTGTCCTCCACCCCAGCTCGGGGCTTTGCCTCCCTGTCCAAGCACAGGAGCACGCCTGGTTTCCCCACATCTCTTTTCCTCCTTTCTGCCTTGTACTTTCTGACCTGAATCCACTTTTCTTTTCTGTCTCTACCCAGGTCCATCATTTTATCTTTGCCCTCCAAGGTTAAGTAACCATGATGTCAGTTTTCTGAAGTCCTCCCCAGCCTTTTGCTCCCAGTTAACATGGTGACTTGTCACTCTCAGGATTCTGGGCTGAACTTCCAAGGTCGTGGGCAAAGGGACAGTGCTCAGGTCAGCTTTTCCTCCAGGGAGGCAGGGTCTGGGCCTTGGACTTAATTGTCTATTAATCAATATTCCATGTCTATTAACTCATATTCCATGAGGAGGATACGTTGTTTTAGAGAAAACATCAGCCACACTAATGTGTTGATGCTACACATAACAAAAATAAGAGACAACTGCCTAACTAGTTTTAGATGTGGGAAAAAAGAAATCCTAATTCCTCTTATTTATATAAGCAATTTATTATGTGTGCCTAATTCCCACGTGGCAAAATAGTAGTGCATGGATCATGAAGTAGGTCAGTTTCCTTTCATTTCAAAGCTGAACTCTATTCAGGTATGTCAGTCAGTCTTGAAAGTTTGCTAATCCTGTGGCAGGGCTGTCTGCTTTCAATTTAGGGAGGGAAAAAACCATTAGAGGAGAATGTTGGCCTAGACATGGAAGCCAGGAGAGGAGAGGAGCCTGATAGGCCAGGGCCCTCTGAATTCTTCATGATTAACTGTGTGACCTTAGGCAGGTCAGTTTACCTCTCTGGGCCTCCTCTCCTCTTTCCCAGGGTTTGGAACACTGGGACTGGTTTTCCTTTTTTTTTTTTCTTTAAGCAGTAACGCTTCCTTTCTCCCCAAATGAAACATATATAGAACCCCAAAATATAAAGCAAATAAAAGAAAAGCTGCCTAAGGCTGCCTTTGAGGTATCTTCACAGAACCCTGGGGTTCCTAGGTGCAGGACTACCAAGCATCCCATGCAACTCTCATAGCTTTGGAGGGAGAGCCCAAAATAACACCCATGTCCTGAAAAGTGGCATCTCAGGAGCACTGATAGTGTACCTGGACGGTAACTTAAAGGCCCCAACAAAATCAGGTGGAGGGAACATTCATTCTGAATTTCTGAGGGTAGTTAGTGGTTAAGGTGTATACTTGAGCTCCTCACACCTTCAAAAAAAAAAAAAACAAACACCCTCAACTCAAACCTTTCGATCTCAAATGAACCTCTCCGGATTGTTGGAAAGGATGAAACAAATTGACTCGGTTATGTCTCACTTTCAAAAGAGGCAGTTTTGAAACCTGTGGTCCCCCAAGCTCTAAAATACTGAGCCATTTGTCCTAATGACACAGCAGGCTCTGAACTCTAGAATACCGCAGGAATATCACACCACTGCAAATTACTAGGTGGTGCTCAGTCTCTAAAAAAACGAACTGAAACAAAAGCCTTGCTCTGTTTTTGAGATGCACATTTGATATGAGCTAATCACAGAGAGTTTGAGATTATTTTCCTAGAGGCAGAATTATTTCGCACAGTTAAGCAGCCCTTCAGTTACCCCTTTTGTTGTATCTATGTGTAAACACACGGCCCATGTAGTGGATGATTTTCTCTCTCACTGAAGTTTCTAAAGACAAGGCCTTTTTGTCCCGGGTAAATGCAGGGCCAGTCAACCTTACAAAAGGAGTCATTTACTGCTCAATTTCCCCAACTTTCCTATGATTAAAAACTTCTAACCTCAAATGCCTGCTATTGTGTTTTAGATTGTTTTTCCTCCCTCCTCCACCAAAAGTTTAAATTGTCTCTACTCTGCAGGACTCCCTCTATCTCCCCCCCACCATCTGACCTTGAAAACAGAGACCCCCCCCTCCTTTTCTTTAACGTGCCGTAAACTATTTTAAAATCGAGGCCCTCTGACCTTTTTTACAACACTCTTCTTGCCTGACACACCAAATGCTGATCTGAAAGCCAAGACGAGGTAAAGGGTCTTGGGGGCTGGGAAGGGGAGGGAGGGAGGTACTATATATTTGGCATAAGTTCAGAAATTCAGAAAATGTTTGTGCAACCACTCCCCCAGCCGGGACCCACCACACGCCCTGCCTTCCAGCACATTAATAAAAAAAGATGTGAGCGACGAAACTGGAGAGCCGGAGAGGGACACCCAAGGTGGTCATAACTGTGAACGCAGAGAAGCCACTGATCACCATCCCACATGTCCAGCCCTCGTTCCTCCTCCGATATCCAGCGTTTGCCAGGAGACCTCTCGAGATCCCATCCCCACCCCCTAGAAGTACCCAGTTAAGCAGGAGCAGCACCGCCCATTAACGGCTAATGTGAAACAAACGGGACTGACACCACCTCTGCACGTCGGGGTGGCAGCGCTGTGCACCGTCAGAATCATATTGTTCTTTAAAAAAAGGAAAAGTAAAATGAGCACACAGGCCTGGAAAACATTAACTTGTGAATTGACTCTAACACACCCCAGGAGAGTCCATCGCTCCCTCAAACAAAAAGGGGGGGGGGGCGCGCGAAGGCACATTACCATCTTGTCCTGAGCTTTCCAGATATTCGGTCAGGTCACAGCCAAAGGCACTGGTGGCTCCCTTTCGTTTCAGCTTCTGCTTGGCACCCTTGTTCTTCATGAGTTAGTCCCAAAGAGGTTGCCCCTCCGCGTTCCCCTCCCCTCTGCTTGGCACTGCGCCGAAGATTGTCTCCGGGGTTAGATCACCGGCTGCAGCGCGGCTCTGGGGGGCCGCATGGGCGTCCAGAAGAACTTGGGCCCGGGGCAGTGCGCATGGACCCCGCGGGGCGGCGCGGAGCCTGAAATCCACGGCGCGCTCCTCCAGGGCCGCGGTGCCGGAGGCCGTGCAGAGCTGGCAGCGGCGGGCCGGCTTGCTGGGGAGTGTCACTTCCTCACTTGGCGTCCCAGGGACTTTCACGGGCTCCTGCGGTGTCTTCGGGTGTTTTTCTCCGCCGGGGAGGAAGGGCGAACTCGGCTTTCCGCCCTTCTGGACGCCCAGGAGCGGACGCGAGCGCGGGGGACGCGGCGGCCGCGGGCGGCGAGGGGACGGCGCGGGGACGGCGCGGGGCTGCGTGGTGCTCTTCCCGGCGCCCGCTGTCTTGCCTTCAGACGGCTTCGGAAGAACGACCGGCAAGCATCCTGTCTCTGTCGCCCGCCCTCACGCCTTCCTTTTTTTCCTGTCTTACAAATCCTAGGATCATCCAGCTCAGGAAATGCTGGAAGGAAGTTCGAGAGGGAGGGGGGCGGAGGGTGGAAATTTTTGGCAGCTCCGCGCCTGGTGAGCACGGAGCGGAGGAAGTAGGTGGGTGGGTTGAGGAGTGCGGGGTGGGGGCGAGAACGCGCTGCGCGCCGAGCTGCTCGCGACTGCAGATAACTGGGCAGCGCGGAGGGAACCGCCGCTCGGAGGAGGACCCGCCGCCGAGCCGCCGGCTCCTGCGCCGCCGACGGCGCTTCGAAGGGGCCGGAGGAGGAGCGCGGGCATGCTGGATGGAGGGGGCTAGGTGGGACCGAAAGAAGCCCTGCCTTGTTTATCCTCCTTGTCACCATCTCCTTGACACTTTCTATTTCGGTGCCTGCCTTCTCCCACACAAACCCTTACAGAGTCCTGACAGACAAAGACAGGGGTTCCAGCGGAGAAACTTGACGGGGCGCGGTTTCCGCCGGCCACGCTCAGCTTCCCCTCGGCGCCCAGGTACCCCAACCCAGCGAGCGCCCCTCCCACGTGACGGAGGGTGGAGGCTGTGGATCGAGAACCGCTGCCCAAGAAATTGGAAGTCGGGTCACAGATTCAAGTTCACACACACTCACACATGGGCATCATTGCTCGGCTTTCCGCCTCTCCGGACGCTCCGGAGCGGGTGTGAAGGGGTGGGGGAAGGATCCAGGATTAAAGGTGACTCTAAGATTCTAGTCTCACGTGGAGAGATCCGTCTGCCAGGTTGTTTCATAATTTATCTCGAGTTTTTCAGGAGGGCATGTTCTCTCTTTCTCAGTTGGATTTGAAACCCCTTGACGTCTGTGTACTCAGCACACAGTAAGCACTCACATTCTTGTGATGTAACCATTTGAGGTTTAAATTAAACTTCCTGTAAATTCAAATCCATATATAGACTTGAAGGGTAGGGACATTCATACAGTTCAGATTGCTGTTAAAAGCCTTATGTATGGTATTTTAGTTACTGAATACCTTTACAGTCGCTCATCTCCCTATGTATCAAGATAGCATATGAGTTTTGACCCTTGACCTTATCTTTTTGTCAGAGGTCACAATTGACAGCAGGCCTATAGAATCTGGTCCATACATGTGTTTGGTTTGGCACACACCATGTTTTAAATTTTACTTTATTTATTTATTTATTTATTTATTCATTCATTCATTCATTTTTTATTTATTTATGTATTTATTTTAATTTATTGATTTTAGAGAGAGAGGACGGGAGAGGGAGAGAGAGAAACATTGATGAGAGAGAACATTGATCGGCTACCCCCTGCATGCCCCACACTGGGGATCTGGCCCACAACCTGGGCATATGCCCTGACCGGGAATCAAACCAGTGACCTCTTGGTGCATGGGTCAATGCTTAACCACTGAGCCATACCGGCCAGGCCATGTTTTAAATTTTAAAAACATTAATTGCCAACATAAAAGAGTTAACAGATTTTACATAAGAGAGCTGGATTTCTGGCTTCTCTTGCAAAAATGGAAGATCTGGTACCAGCAAAAGGGCATTCCCACATGGCAAGAACTGCCAATGCCAGGTTGTGTCAGCCCCCTTGGAGGCACCCTCTTTAGAGAGATGAGTCTTCCAGTCTCTCAGCCCCCCACAATCTGTACTCCCCACTTTTGCACTTGCCTGGCCTCTGGAGCTACTTGAGTTCTCAGCCCAAGCTCTGTGTATGGTATCTCCTTCCTTTCATTTTCCATTTGTCTTCAATGACATCACCACGGTGCCCCAATCTTGGTGAGACATCTTCAAGTAACCACTGACTCATTTCTCTCTTTCTGCTCCTATCTTTAGGCTAGTCCTGCCCAGACCATGAGTCCTTCAAAATGCGTCTCCTCTGGATTTCTTCCTTTCAAGGCTCAATCCATAAGATTGTTCACTCTCCAGTTGTTAGAATAACTCCTAGTAGAGTTCACTGAGTCTGGCCTCTTCCCACTTTATCTACCCAGTGTACCAGAGGTCTGATGAAGCTTCCTGTAGAATTACTGTTGCTATATGCCTGTTTTGCTCAAAACTGTCAATGATTCCCTGTTTCCTGCTGCCAGGACAGCAATATCTAAACATTTTGTAAGCTACTTGGAGAATATTGGTAGAATATTCAGTATAATGGTTTGTTCCTTTATTTATAAAAAAGCATCTCCACATGAGACTATAATGAACAACATTTACATTTGTTTAGGGGTTTACTGTAGCAAAAACTTTCATAATTTATTATTTCATCCAACCAAGAGTGGATTTCATTACTTTGGCAGCAAAAGAGAGAGGCTGTACTTTTTTTCTGGGTCCAGGCCCCCAAGGCACAAATCATGGATAAATTGTCAAGCTCTGTGAATTACCTTTTTAAATATTTAAAAACATTATTTTAACTTTTTATTTTGAAGTAATTTCAGCTTATAAAAATTGCAAAAAAATATTCCAAGAATTCCCATATACCTTCCATGCAGCCTTCCCAAATATTGATATCTCATATAACCAGAATACAATTATCAAAATTAGGAAATTCATATTGCTACAATATTAACTAATCAACAGATTTTATTCAAATATGAATTAATTTTAAATTGCATACAATTTTTACTAAATAATGGTCTTTTTCACAATAAAGTTTACCAGTTAAGTAAGTATGGAAACAGTCATTTACAAGTAATTTTCAAAACATTTCCCAGTATAACTTTACCTATGTACCAAATCCCCTTGATCACCAGCAAAACCCAGCAGGTCTAGGTTGTCACAAAACAGGGCTGTCTAGGTGAACCAGTACAGCTGGTAACCTTGACACCACCCTAAGATTCTTCTACACTTTCCTGATGATTCCCCAAAGGAAGGAACAGTCATAGAATTTTTAACCTGGAACAACTTGAGGCCTTTTGGTTTCTGCTTCATGACCAGTTGAATTCAAGTTGTTCAGGGTTCAAGGTTGATGTAATACAATATTGAGCACTGGGCAAGGCATCCATTATGCCTGGGCCATTGAACAAACCTTTCTTGAAATGTGTACATAGTGGTTATTTGTCTTTCTCTGATAATGCTCAATTATCTACACTTTATGGTGGGAAGAACTCACAATTTATCAAACCAGAATGAAGCGACATGGTGACAGCCTTATTCAGAGAGCTGGAAAGCTGACCCTCCCCATTTGCTTTGTCTCCTCTCCTAGTCGACTACACCCTGCCACAAGTGCCAGCCTTGCCTCTTATCCTGGACACTCTTTTTCTAATGTTCTTTCTCTTTTTCTTCCCATTTTTCTCTTGCTCCGTGCTCACTCTAAGATGTGTACCTTTTTCTGGGTCTGTGGGAAAAAGTCAGATGTGGATTCCAAAGGGTTTTTCCACTGGGCTGTGGGTTTTCTAGGAAGCAGATTATATGGAGATAGTTTATGATTGTTTTTGTTTTTTATCCTCACCCAAGGACATTTCTCCATTTTTTGTTCAGACAGAGCGGGAGGGAGGGAGAGGAAGAGAGAGAGAGAGAGAGAGAGAAACATCGATGTGAAAGGACACATTAAGTGGCTGCCACCCGCACGACCCAACCAGGGCTGGGGACAAACTGCAACCGAGGTACGTGCCCTTAGAGGAAACGGAACCCGGGTCTCTCTGGACCGCAGGCTGATGCTCTAACCGCTGAGCCAAACCAGCCAGGGCAATAGTGTATGATTATTAACAGGAGGACCGATTAACCTATTTGCCCATTATATGAATTATGCCTTTAACAGATTATCATGTGACAAAAATCACTTCACTCACAGGGAGTTCATGCAGAGTTCTGTTCTTGTTTGTGATTTATCTTATCTGCAACTGTTTAAGACGAATGCCCATCAAAGCGTGCCCTCTGCTTCCTTCACTCATCGGGGATGGTAGCAATCTTCTCTGCCCTAAATAAACAGATACAGAAAACGGTATTTGGAGATTTTAATGTCACCTGTGATCTAGCCTTTTCTTTTACCCAGTTTGTCCATAGGGTTAGTAATCAGCAATTTTAGAGTAGTCTCCTCTTCTAGTGCCTAATTAAATATGCACATAGTTCCTTGTCCGTGAACTATAATTAATATGTTCTGAATTTAGCTTATCTTCCTGCTCAGTACATTTCCTCTCCTGCTGTCCTCTCCCCTTGTCCCAGTTTAAAGATGCTATTTTGTCACTGATTGTTGGGTGTTATGGAATGAATTGTTTCTCCCCATTCATATGTTGAAGCCCTAACCCCCAGTATCTCCAAATCTGACTGTATTTGGAGATAAGGCCTTTAAAGAGGTGATGGAGTTAAAATGAGGCTATTAGAATGGGCCCTAATCCAATCTGATCGGTTCCCTTGTGAGAAGAGATTAGGACACAGGGATACCAGGCATGTGTCCCACAGAGAAAAGACCATGTGAAGACACAGCAGAAAGTTGGCCACCATCCAGGCAAGGAGAGAGGCCTCAGGAGAAACCAAACCCACCAACACCTGGATCTTTTTTTTTTTTTAATTGATTTTAAAGAGAGAGGAAGGGAGAAGGAGAGA